GCCAGGTTTGGATGGCCAGCGCTAAAATCTAACAGACACGAGGCTGACAGAGTCCTCCAGCACTTAGCCAGTACCGTCGCTGATCTGTGGCGCACACGTCATGGTGACAGAAGTTGACTGGTAAATGTTTCGCATTAGTCCTTCTAGGTTAGGTCGCATTCGTTTGCTTCCAGCATTTTGTCTTGACAGCGTTGCTCTGGCTGCCGGCCGGCAGTTGCGCATTTGAAGACAGCTTTGCTCAGCACTGACGTCTCCGAGGGCGTCTTCACTTACTTTCTTTGGTGGAGTCTTCTCCACCGCCCACACTGTGCTTGCAAACCAAGGGCAAGTACAGTTCAACACAGTCCTGCTTGTGCCGCACGGGGTTTCCTTTACATATCTAGTTAGGCTGCCTGACTTGAGCAGTAGCCTTCGTGCTTCCAGCTGCCATGGCACTACTGGAAGGTCTTACGTGGCAAAGGTTTATGAGATATGAGATAGCGAATGCACCGAGGGCAAATACGGCATCCTTCGGCTTGATGGCTCCATCCCACCGCGTGAAGATGAAGGAGCTGAAGAAGAAGGACCTCGATGTCTCGGAGGTCAAAAAGCTGGGTCCTTTGCAGCTCAGGCTTGTGGGGGGGCTTCGCGGTCCAACCTCCACGTGGTGAGGAGAATCTCTCATGAGAGCTTGGCCTCTGACAAGGGGCCCTCCAAGATTCTCTCCGAGCTGGCCGCCACGCTGCGACCCCGCAGGATGCAGGAAGCCAGAGAGCTGTACCTAGCCAGCTGGCTCCCGCGAAACAGGCGCTTTGTCACGGCAGTTCGGTGAGCCGATGAGCATATACGTGCTTCGCCGCCGGTCCTGGTGGAGCATACTGCAAGATTGGCAAGACTTGGATTCGGAGACAAAGATCCCGGACCGTATCCTTGCGGAGCAGGCTTTGATGATCCGGACGTCAAATAGACTGTGGACGGCATCTGCTCTGAGCCAGCATGGCAGCATCCACTTGAGGCAGAAAAGAGACCAAGCGCCGGCGGGATGGCGGCCCAGGCCGCCCCACCTTTCTACCTGATCTACCCTCTTGGGGTAGACTCCCCCACTCCCCAATCCCCGGGGTCTGGCTTCCGAAGTCAGAGCTCTCCGGTGAAGATTGGGACCCACCTGAAGCCCTCCTCCCGAAAACTAATCTCCGGCAGAGACCTGTCGCCACCAGATCCGTGCGTCGAACCCAGGCTGCTCACCACTGTGGCTGCTTTGTCCCTGCCTTATGGCTTGGCGGTATCGATGAATCTGACAATCTCCGTGTTCTATCTTCGATGGATCGAAGGCAGGGGCCAACCTCCGTATCCAACAGCATACGGCAGAGAAGGTTAGAGCACCCACGGTGATGGATTGTGTCCAGTGTTTGCACTGGCCTGCCACCCGCGGTGAAACCCCGCCTTGGTCGTATACGGACAGTAAGGAGGAGTGGTGTCTCCTCAAGGCTGATGTAAGAAAGACGCCTCCAGATCATCTTTCAGGAATGGAAATACCAGGTGGCCCAACTCGGAAAGGAATGGTGGGTCAACACCGGGCACCTACGGCATGGCCAGTGCCCAACTCCTTCCTGGCTGAGGTCAACACGTGGCCTGGATTTGTGATTGACCCCCGAAATTCTTTGTGATCAGATGGCCCGGGAGAAACATCTCCTGGTTGTGAACATCCTGGAGGATTTTCGAGATGGAAAGGTCATGTCGGCCTCTCAGATCGCCAGTGCCCTAGGTCGCCTCCAGTGGGCCACCACTGCATGCCCCTTAACTAAACCCTTTTTCTAGCCCATTTGGGCCTGGAAAAGGCCTGCCTCACGGAGCAAGCTGATCCGAGCCATGGCCCCCGAGTCGCCTTCCTGCATCTCGATGTGCTTGGGCATCTCGGTCACATCCATCCCCCTTATGACCAACTCCGCCGCCATGTCCATATCATTCAGCTTTTCCGAAAGTGGGTGTTGTCGGGATCCACGTGGGCGAAAAAGGAGAGCATGGAATGTAGGAAGTTTTCTACCGTCTCAATGTTGGATGTCATCGGGGCCGCCGAAGAAGAGGCCATGATCACCGGTCGCAATCGGACAAAGGGAGCGAAAGTTGAAGCCATTTTGGCAGACGTCTCCAGACATAACTCCTGCGACTCGGCAGGCTCCTAGCAAGCAATAACACTTTTCAGGATCTTTGCATTGGGAGCACCCTGACTACGTGTTGAACCCTACATTCATGGAGGTCGTGCGGAGGGTACATGTGTGATCCGCCCTTTTTCTTTATGAAGCGTAGGCAATCTTATCACTATCATGTCAGGCTTATCACAACATCTTGCCAAGAAAATGTTCAATAGACCTGAAGGTGGGACTCCCTTTCGAGACACTGTTCCCACCGTTCACAACACACAAATCGCACGTGCCAAGCTCCTGCCAAGTACTACAAAATGCAGAAAGCATTGGCCAGTGCCAGGCAAAAACGACTAAGCCCACAACTCTCTGCATCGACAAGAAAGATGGCGAGGTGCTTCGGCAAAATAAGATTCTCACCTTGGAGTAGCTTTGTCAGGTATGTCTGATCAGCATCGGATTATCATGTTCGACGAACGACAATCGGGTGCACGCAAGACGAAGTGTAAGGATAGTGGCCGGTTCTACTGTTTAGGGACTGTCGTGGACAAGTCTGATCTCTGCTCATGTTCCTCCTCACCTGTATTCTCATGCCCAATTTGCATTCCCTGCCGCTCTGAATGAGCAAAGCTCTCGGCACATCGGTTGGACAACGCAGTTCACTGTACTGCTGACGGTGATTGCTCGCTCGGTGGCACTGCTCCATGTTTGTCTCTCAACAAAAAGCCTGTTCTTCTATTCTATGAGCGTCCGGAACATCTAAGATAACTTTGTCAGCTAAGAGAGAAGACAAGAGCAACCGGGTTGGATGTGCACAAGTGTTTCCCTTTGCAAAGGATTCGTCAAGAAGACGAGTTACAGCATCCGTGGTTCAAAGCGTCAGAAAACTCGCGACAAACCTCTCGAGGGGAGTTGCTGTAAGCATTTGCAAGCAGTGCCGATGAAGCCGCCAGTGATTTCAGGCTGACTGACAAGGCCGCGGAGCAACAGCTCTCGGGTGCAAGGTGCGAGCCGAAGCGGATGACCCACTGCGATGGAGGCCGCATCTTGCAATTTATGCATTCTCAGCACGGGCGCAACCGGCAACAAAAAGACAGATAGACCGAAATCATAACACAAGGCTTATGACACACCACGACATGATGATGAGAGCACAGTGGCTCAGACTCACCACCTATCTTCAAGAGCATTACTTCCCAAGGTTGCAGCCACATCAATCGCTGCATTGCCTTCGATCGTGCTGAAAAGAGTGCACGACAGACGACTGCTGTGATGAACTTTACGACGTTTCCGCTTGCACTGGACATCTAAACAGGCTGCGATGTCGAGATTGTCTGATTTGTCTGCACATTGGGAACAGCCATTATCTGTGACGACCACGGTTGAAGCGACCGCATAGCGCTTTGGATGCCGTGTATATCAGCACGAACTGGTTGTTTCGCAACAACTTGCAGGTAAAGAGGGTATGTGGAACTGTGGAGCACAGCACCGCAGACGCTTAAGAGCTCAGTGCTCCACAAAGTTTTGGAGGATCTTCATCTGGACGAGGCCGTGCCAAAGCTGTGGGAGGCATTGCAAGTGCCTGAACAAATCTCAAACACTTGTTCAATCTGCCAGGGCATGGGATTCAATCCTGGCCTGTGAGGCTTGTATCGATAAACGCGGCTCCGAGCCTACCGCGTGCCAAGAATGCACAAAAGCAAGGTTCGGTTCCCTCTGGATGACGCTGATCCACCGCCTCGTACGGAGGATGTCCTTGGAGCCTGGAGCCAGGGGCACTGAGACTTTTGTGGCGTCGCGCCGCGTCTCCGCGCTGCGCCTCCCGTCTCGGTCCCAAACTCCCCCGCTCCAGGAGTTTACCTCCTGGCCCTTCCAGGTAGGAGCCTTCAAGGATGCAACGGGAAAAGGAGAGCTCTCGACTGGGCACCGGGGCACGAGGCCCTGGCTTGAGTCCTGAGTCGGGAGAAGCAGATTTGACTTACAGCTGGTCATGTGGAGCCTCTCAGTGCTCCAACACGTTCCTTCACCATTCGTACTTGCAAGGACACCCATCAAGAGACTTGGAAGACCTTTCGCATGGCATCAACAGGCCAAAGCCTCTGGCTGCTGGACAAGGCTCTGAAAGCAGATAAACAATCAAAGGAATAATGAAGACCATGGCCAGCGCCACCAACAGCATCACCTGGAACGCTCTTTAAAATGCATGCTAGCATTCACACACAGAGTCGGATCGCATTCTCTCCGTGTGACAAGCACAGGTTGTTCTCGGTGGGTTGAGTGTTCCCTGTCATCTTCTGTGTTGTACTCGTGTCCAGAGTCACCAGAGCCGAAACTTCGTGACTTTCCGTTGTTGATGCAAGAATTGCCGTGATCGCTCTTCACACCGAAAACGTTGCTGATGGAAGCAGCACAAGCAGTTTACAGGTTTGGCCAGGAACTGCCCAATTGTTTTGATGAAACCTTGCTCGGCATCAGCGGTACGGATTTTAAGCTAGTTAGGCCAGTTAGGCCTTTCTGCTTCCGAACGAGTTGCAAGCCTCGCATCCTGCCAGTTCTGCTGGGATCTTGTTCCTGTGCCGCCTTACTGCGTCAGTCTAAGCTTGTGTCCTGATTCCTGGTTCTCGTGTCACTTCGCTTCTCGTCATCTGCGGCAAGAGGAACAAGGGAAAACGCAACAAGAACACATTGCACACGAATGGTCGCTGGGCGTTCGGCCGTGAGGTTCGAAGACGAACTCGCATTTTTTGCTACCTGCGCTTTGCACCGATGTTAGAAGCATCTTAGCAACTTCCTGGGGTGCAGTGCGCTCTTTGCAGGGACTCGGCGGTCCATCAGCTGAGGATGAGCTGTGCGAATCTCGACACAGAAGCTCACAAGGTCTACAGTGGCTGAGGCAAGCTGATTCTGACCTCTGCATGGATTGAATGTTCCTTGGCTAAGCAGGCCATCGTTCTTGGCGACGAAAAGCTCGTCACCTTTCCGTCCATGTCACCCTTGGAGGGGGGAATGTTGGGTCGGGGCCCAGTGCCTCTCCACCTAGCGAGGCGGAAAGCTCAGAGGTGGCCCAGAACCTTTCAGCCCCACCGGCCAGTCCTACCAGCTTCCTCTTTCTGAACTGCTGCGCATCGTCTTTGCGTAGCCCGGCAGTCGCCGGTGCACTTCAAGGACTTGCACTAGTAGCTTGCCCTCTGCAGCTGTCAGTCCGACCAAGGCGAGTCAATGAGTTTACAGACTCAGTCGTCCCTCATCGTCCCTCTGCCTGGCCTCGAGCGACAATACAGAAAGAAGACTGAACGATCTCGAATCACGCTCCTGAATCCAAACCAGGCAGCACAAGTCTTCTTGAGTAGTGTGCCTACTTGAGGTCCTTGGGCAAAGCGTCCGGTCCAAGTTCGGAGGACCTCACTCATGCGACGCGCTACTGAGCAACGGCAAAAACGATAAGCCGAGTTGACACAAACATGATCCAGAAACACAGGGGCATCTCGGTGAGGGACAGCGTTGGTTTCGAAGCGTTTCCTACGGCAAAGACTGTCTGCAATAGCAGGATGTCGCACTCCTTCGGGAAAGTCGGCGGCTGTAGATGCAAAGGGTGCTTGTCCAAAACGGTGCTGGTCCTCGTCCAGGCCGTCCACGCTGTCACGTGCTACCTGAGCGGAAGAAACAGCAAATTGAGCCCCAAATCATTGCATGCTGGACTCCGGACTGTTTAGTTTCGCGTGATCTTACACCTTGGATCGCCGCCTGTCTCTCAGCCTGCGCGATGAAACTAAAGAAGACCTCGGCAAAGGACATCTTCCGACTCTTCCGTTTTGTTACGTGCCTCGCCTGAATCACCCCGACCACAGCATGCCAAAGTCAAGCGGTCAAGCCCAGATAAGAACCAGGCAGCCGCCAAGAACATGCAGCGTTCCATCCGACCATCCGACCTCGCAAGCACAACCGTGATGCAGCTCCAAGGCGCGCCAAGCTGCCGCACCCTTCCACAGCGAAACAACGGAACGTTGAGGTCCTGACTTTCTTGTCTTGAGCTCCCAACGGTACGGTGACGAAGGAGAGACGGGGCGCAGCACCCCTCATCTTGTGGACCAATGCAAACAAACCGAAATCCACGGTAAAGATGACGAAAGCCCGTCTCCAGCTTTCTGCAGCACAAGAGAAGTGCAGCATAAAACTCTGCGATGATGCTTTTTCAAGCCGCGCGACCGACCATCCCTGCTTTCTCACATACGTGAACAGGGAAAAGTGCCTCCGAGAAAGAACCCACTCTTCTTGCCAGGTCTGCTAGCTGTGGACTGAAGCCAGAAGCCAGTACAAAATGGTAGACATCATAGTTGCGTGAGTCGGTTCCGAAACACCCGCCATTCATTGGCCCAATGTGGGCAGATAGCGCTCAATAAGGATCGGCCCCAGACTTTGCTCAATCAATATGGCCTGGCACCTCTAAGGATGTCTTCTTCAAGCCTAGATGCCGGAGATGATGCCAGACCATCAGGAGGTGTCCAGAAGAAAACTGCTTCCACACATGCATTTCCTTTGCAGACTTCCTCTGGACGAGGCTTGAGCGTCTCTTGGTCGTCTGCCAAGCGCGACGCCTTAGGCGTCACCTACTCCGAGCCGCTAATTCAGCAACACGCAGGGCGTGGCTTTTTAAGTCCTGGCCACGCTGTTCCAACCACATGCAGGCGTGGTTGCCACGACAAAGAACACCCTGCCTGGAGTGAAAGTTTCCTCCATTTGATCCTGGAGGTCGCGTACGGTTTCCTCGACAGCTCCAGGTATCCCTCCTGCCACGAATCACCACCATGGGGTTTTGCGAGCCGACGATCCGACAGAAAGCAGGGACGCGACCCCCGCAGCCAAAGAAAGATCCAACTCCCGCTTGCACAGGTCTCCTGCAGGACTTCGACTGCCTCGCGCGTCCCTTGCAGAACTCTGATGCAGCAGAGCAATGCACACAGACAACACCTCAGCTTGAGAGGACGCACCCGGAATGAATGCAGGTGTGATGAAAGCGCTAGTTCAAACTTTCCCCATGCCATAGTGGATTAGTTGCACACCTCCTCCACGACATTTTTGCTTTCGCAGGGTCTGTCATGAAACTTGGCCCGGGGCGATAATGGCAGCTATCCTTGTAAAGCAACGGGCAACTCATGCCAGGGTCCAGTCCAACGAAGTCTGAGGATCGCACATGCAAGCAGTAAACATCATGCCTTCTTTGGTGGGAACTTGATGACCTGCAAGCAAAACTCCTGCACTTTACAGAGGCTTGGCTCCCCATCAAAACTTGCCAACTTCAATCCTTCACTCTTTCTTAATCTCTGCATCAACATATGCTCCGCTTGGCTCCCCGACCTGTGACTTCTTCGACGACTCTGCACAAAGAGATACCTCGAGCTTGCATTGCCACATGAAGAAAGACCAGTCCATGAAAGAGTGAGACTACCATCGCTAAGAGTCCAAGACACTCAGCAACGATAGCGGCCATGGTTGTCCTGGCGTCATTTGGAAGGACCGCCGTTCACCGTGGAGCACTGTACTGCCGAAAGGGAAGGGCCTGCATCTCTTCGGTCCCCACCCGCAGGCATCACCACTGTGTGGTTGGTCTCGGCCTTAAACTTAAACCGTACAGAGCAGCTGGGCACCGGAGAATCAGGCTAGTTTGATAAAAGCAGTAGCTGCCAACAAAGAGCTCCCTAAACTTGGTCTGTGAAGCCGGGCGGCGAAGGCAGTGTTACGAGAGAAAACGACGTAAACACTGCTGATGACTTTGTAGAGCAGCGGGGGTTTTTGTTGGGGTTCCCGGGGCGTTGGTAGGAGGCGCTATATCCATGCTCAGTCCCCGGCCAGTGCTTGCGGCACGGCAGAGCTGCTATCTGCACCAGGATTCTGACTCTTCAGCAACCTCAAAAGAGACTGCAACACAAACCCGACCGCCTGGCGAAGTCGAGCCCTTCCGGGCTCCTGATTTGGAGGCGTTTCCTTGTCCAGCAACCTGACGAAGACATGAAAGACTACACTCAATACAGCCTTTGGGAGCCGGTTTCACCCTAATGGCGGGGGCCGCACCCTCTTGGTGCCACTCACCTGAAAGCCACATGAAAAATTCAGTCTTGCTTGCTGAAGTGCCTGCCCTGCTTCCACTGACCTAACCTGCAAGAGGAAGAAGCTGTCATCAGCCGGCAGAGCTGAGTAAAGCGAAGAAGCCTCTGCAAATGCCACCATGGTGCAAGGACTGCCTTCCCAAACTCCGAGCACCTCCGTTTCCCAGGTCCATGTCACACGAACGCTGAGGAGGCCCAAGATCAGTCCGGAGGCGCCCTGAGTTTTTTCTTGTGCAAACAGCCATCAGCTCTCCGACCATGTCAGCAACAGTAGACGTGAGAGCACTGAGAGCCTCACAAGCAAACAATGCATCTCAAGTGTTTTACGCGGTCATCAGGTATAGATCGTGTGGCCTGCGGAAGACAACCCTTCCTTCGTCGCAGGTCGATCTTACAATAAACTGAGTTACGGGCTGCAGTTCTTCTCGCCACAATTTCATTAAACCATGAGGTGGCTGCGGCACCAAAAACTCATGTGTTGCAGGAGACACCTTGCTCCGTGCACATGTGACATGTCCTTGGTCTGTGGCCACTCGAAGACGTGCCCTCTCGCTTTTAGAAGCTCTTCTGGCGGCACAAATCTGGCTGCTATTCTCGCCGCAGATGTTTCTACTGAGTATACTGTCGCATCAGGAGATGTGAGACCCGACGACCGGCTTCCTGCATGTTATATTAACAGCTGTCAAACACTGCAAGTAAGCTTATCGTTCACTGGTCCTGAATTGGCTTTGGCCGAGATGTGATGCAGCAACGTGATCCAAGCTGCCACGGCCTCTTCACATCGACAAGCTGCCCCAACTGCGTACAGCGTATTTTAATAAAACGCAGTACCCTCCCTTCTTGCTAAGTCATGGACGACAATGGCGATTATCCTAAGTTTCCACTGGCACCATGCGGCGTCCACAAGCCACGCAGAAGCGCATGCAGAACATCACAAGGACGCAACACACTGGCTGTGAACACGATGCGCTTGCCGACCGACACCTGACCTGCAATTCATGTGCCGCAAAATGCATGGTGTATTCATGCTTCAGCTATACTACATCGTCAACCACGAAGCCTGCCACGCGCTTGGCTTTTTGCGCCACGCCTCTATCACACCATGTCAACTGCAGACGTCAATGAAACTGCAAACGACTCAACACAAAGCCTTGCAAAAGGCTTTCTGCGCGGGTCAATGGGGCCTTAGCATCGTACTAGCTGCACAAGCCAACCAACTAAACATGATGTGTCTGTTTTGGCGGCAGTAAGCACCTGGCAATCTGCGCTGGCGAAACAAAGCTGCAATCTGAAGCAAAAGATGGCAACACAATTGATATGCTATGATGGACAGCCACACACGCAAACACATTGCATCAGGATATAAGCACTGCGCTCCGACAACGGCCGGTTGCAATGGCTTGGTGCCCCTTAAGCTGACAATCCAATCGGAGTGGACATCGGCAATGTTGCTGTCAAGCTCGAGGCGACAAGGCTGTTCCTCCTCTGCACCTGCCGCATAGGATCGCAACCTAAAGCTGTTGATCGCGTTACAGCTAAGCGACTCCATTGAATCCAACATCATGCCACTTGATCATTCGGCTTCGGCAAGAAACACGAACATGCCTGCATCAAGCAATGACTTGCATCTTCTCCGTCGTCCGATGTTGATGTTAACTCACCAGTGCTGCATGCAAACATGACCTCAAATGCCGGATCCACGGCCACTGCATGCAACTACGCACGATTTCGACAGTGAAGCTACACCCGAGACCGCTACAATGGCCATGGTCGACA